CTCAAGGAGTTGTATGGATCAGCCTTCAGTAGCCGCAACTTCCAGTTAGGAAGAACATTCAATTCATGGAGGTCAAGCTGCAGTATTCCACCGTATTCTTAACCTGTGTTCCCTCTGAACTGAGTTAGTGTGAGCTAGCTCACAGTTTTTTAGCCTCCGGCTCACACATTTTTTGTCTTAGCTCAGGAAGGATGGCTCCAGAGCAAACTAATTTGTGCAGTAGCCAAATGACTCGCTCACAGCTTTAATGCCAGGAGCTCACAAAGTAGAATTGTTGCTCACAAGACTCCACAGATTAGAGGGAGCATTGTTCTAAACCATCATGAACTGTCTACCTGCACGAACTCGTACCTGTGCAAGAGAAGGTAATGTATGGACCAGTGCTCAGAATAAGTGGGGTACTTTTAACACACGGTGCTATGTTTAGAAATAAGGTAACCACAACACAACATGAAACCATACAAGATTACACAGACCTCAATTACTTTGAGACCTGTGTACAAGCTATACAGCTTGATTCACCAGGGAGAGAAATATGCATTGCTATTGAGAAAACAGAAGCCAAAATCAGGCACCATTACAAAAGGGAGCAAGGGTTGTTTTTTTAAATTTATTTTTCGCTCTTCTTTCAGTAATAACCACACCATTTGATTTCAGATGTTTGAAATAATTTAAAGACAGAAGGCACAGGAGAACAAACTCAATAATATAACTACAATAAAATTGAAAGGAACAAAAAAGGGCAAAAGAAGAAGAATCCACTCTGAGCACATTTCCATTACCAGAGATTGTGAACAGCACTAGCCCCCTGGCATGACGTCTACGGCACTGCTTGCAACTTACTGGGTCATGCAGCCAGAGCAAGAAAGAACAGTGTTTCGGCTTTGCCGGGGGAATTTCATGGGAGACCTCCACTTCACATGGAATATTCCTACCTTCAGCTATGCTCATTGCAGCTTGCCACGAGACACAATACACTTCATTTACAAAGTGTTATACTACAACCCGGAAGTTAGCCTTGCTTTTTGTTTTTTGAGGATGGGATGCAGTTTGTTTCCCCCTTATATGCTTTAGTACAGAAGTTCAGACTCAAGATCTCAGAACCTTTGCACCACTGTACCCGCTTATACTGCTGTACCGCGTGGCAGTGCTGGCGTATCACATTTCTGTGATATCACCTTGGAACCAGCTCCTCCGTAACCGTGACATGCCTCTTCTGCAGTCGCGGGAGTCTGAGGATGGCCTTGCCTTCAGGGAGATCCCTGATCATGTCCGTAGAGGATCCCCATGCAAACCTGGGCTCTCTCAGTCTGCCCTTGCAGAACACACGAAGCTAATTCTCCAAGACCAGTCCATAGGGGAATTTGGACATGTTCGTTTTCAAACACTCGCAGTCTCCCCTGGGGGAGCCACATTGCAAATGGCTTTTGAAATTAAGGGGAATTTCAAAAGCAATTTGACCTCGAGGGGAGCCAGGTGTTCAAAGAAACAGTTCCCAAGAGGCTAGCATCAGTTTCTTCTACGAGCCATAGCTTTTTGGATTTGGGCATTTATACCTGTCAGAGCATCCCCCCACCAAATGGGTCTGGATTTGCATGGGTGTGTCTTCAGACTGGACCAGAGTCTGGCTTCCAAGACAAAAATTCGACACAGTAATATACTGTACGGAGCGAGAGTACAAAAGCAAAAAGCTTCATATCATACAGAAAAGAAAACTTTGGTACTGGCAGTAGACTTTTTTAATGCAAAGGACTGAAGCTTTATTTTGAACAAAGGTACTTGAAAACCGTGGCATGCTGTAATATCCCTATCACATAAGTTGCTAAGTGAGTGTGGGGGGGAAATAAAAACACACAGACTCCACAATGAATATATGTGGTATTGAAATACATTCTCTGATCATTAATACTAGCATGATAATACATAAGGTAGATTTTTCATCCAATTTTTGACCATTCAGAAACTTGGTTGCATTTTTAAGTAGGCAAGACTTTGAAAACCACATAGAGGTCTGGAACTAGGTAAAAGCAGGCATTTGTGTGCCTTATAAAAGGGTGCCTGTCCTTTCAGACCAATTTTAAATCTGCACAAAGCTATCAGTTGATTTAGAAATGTAAACACGATTCTAGGTACAAAATTAGCGAGTTAACAATGCAACAGTAGGTTGAGAAAAAGAAAATTATTCCGCATATGTGAACAGATTGTTTCAGCATTTGATGTGAAGGCATCTGGGCTTTTGTTAGCACATGACAGGAAAAAATGTGCAATTCACTCTCTGTTTGGGAAAAAAAAGATAGAAAAAAATTCTCCTTTGGGCTTCCTGAAATTGTATTGTAGCACTCCCAGCAACAGCTTTTCCCTTTTCTCAAAATACTCCTCTGATTCCACATACGAGCCACACCAGAGAGCTACAGACAGCTGCAATATAAATTGTAAAAAGCCCCCCCCCTTAGAAAAAAAGGTTCATCAAAATTCTTACACAGTAAAACATTCATTTGGACCAGTAATATCAGCAAAAGCTAACATGGTAGATCAATCAAAGGTCACCCCAGTGTTTTGATATTGTTGCCTGCATTGTGGGTTATCATATCCTGTTTTCTTGCAAGGTACAAACGTATTTATACATTAAGCAGTTTTCTAAGAAACAGAACAATTATTGCACTTCATTTAGGAAAAAAAATCCCAGGCTTTTGTCCTATTCAGTGAACACTGGTGATGTGCAAATAAAAACTATGGGATGAAAACAGTTTTGTAAGAAGACTCTCCAAAGAATATGAAAGAACAGAGCAGGGGAGAATGAGGAAGATGTTCAGAAATGTCTGTCCCTTTTAAGCTTTTTAAAAAATGTGATTTGCTGCCATCAAAGCTCCCTCTCATGGAAAGGAAAGCTGAACTGAGGTGATCAATGTACTTTTGGCTTGCAAAAATACATTGGACTGTGGCTTGGAAAAGCAATTCAAGGGCAGTTAAAATCAGGGCAGAGAGCAGCCTCCGTTCATTTTGCCAGGATACTAAGTCACTTGTGTTTATGCTAGAAACACCTGCACGTCCAGTGCAGGAAAGAGGAATATGGTATACGCTGTAACTCTCAGGAATGGTGCAGCACAGAATGAGTGCTGCAGACACGAACTCCGGTCCAGTACAGCAGGGGTCCCCAACCTTTTCGAGCCTTTGGAATTCTGACACAGGCTCATGGGCCCAATCGCAAAATGGCTGCCCCGGGAGGTGGAGCCAATCGCAAAATTCTTCAACATTTCTAAGCAGAAGCCTTGTTTCACAAGATACATTTTGATCTGCACTGATGGGAAAACGCCCCGCTTAGTCTCTCCCACTTTCTGAAAGCACTTGGTGGGCAGCACACTGGGGATCCCGGAAGTACAGGCACTGACGCAGGGACTCACACCCATCTGCTTATTCAAGCTGCACGCTGGAAAACATCCAACACCACAAATGGCCGGGGCTGTATTCTGAACACCCTATGGACATCATTGCACAAGGGTGGAGGATTTAACATCCTTGGAATCTCAGCTTTCATTTAAAGGAAAACAACAAGAACAACATGGGTTCTAGCCCTTATGGATGAAGACGTAAACTGGAAAAGGTGTGGCTATTGACGGGTGATATCTTGGAAGTCTGGAGGAGGGGCCAGTGTTGAGCAGAGGCTGAGGCATCGTCGTGCTGCACGACTCCTACGGCTACTGGAAGCAGAATAAATTATGCAAAATACAGACCATTAGATGCACGTTTTCATAATTTATTCAGGTTACAGAATCTGGATTTCTTCAGCACAGAGTGTACACAACCTTGTCTATAGTACAGTGCAGTACGTGCACGTAGGATGCATGTGGGTATCTGTCTGATGCAGAAACAACCCAGGAGATGGTGCAGATCTTACAGATTGGCTATGTGCTGGTGCTGCGTCTGACATGAACCTGACCTTGGAGTTACCCTTGTGTACCCAACACCCTTGAATGACTAAATGCCAAGGATGGTCTCACAAGCAAACACCGTACTCGATGATAAAAATAGGGACCGTTGGGCAGATGCTACAACCATCATGAGGAAACCCACTGGAGTAAATGGTACGGTGGGCTACTGTCCAATGCTCCCTTGCACAGAGAGTTTCCAGGCCAGCACGATGTATTCCTAGTGGCGGCAGGCAGTAGCATAGCAACTCTCCATCCAATGGGGGCAATCCACGTGCTGTGTTACTTTCACATAGCGGGGTTATATTCTCTGCAGCAGGTGCTACATGGAACTGCGTCCTGCTGCTTCTAACGTGACAGCCATAACACAAACACTTCCAAGAACAGGAGCCGCTTGCAGGAGCACTCTAGTTCAATAGTAACACTGGGAGTATATTTTAACAGATTTTAAAAGGTGCTTCTGCCTCCCCTGTGACGATGGCAGCAAATCTGGAAGCAAAAAAGGAAATGTCTCACACCTGCTACTAGGAGGAGGTGATGCTGTTCCCCACTGCAAGGTAACTGCTGTTTCCCCCCTATAGAGATTCTGTGAAGTTTGGGCCAGGGGCTATCAACACAGGGAACAGCTTCACTGGCATTGAGACTGGCAGGTGTCTGGCAAGCTGGAACCTTAGCAGACTGGCCACCTGCTTTTTTTTAAAAAAGCACTACAATTGCCAGCGGAAGGCAACCCTGAAAATACCCCCAGGATCCTATAGCGTGTGCAGGGGGATGCTTTGAGTGTCAGTGTGGAAAAACACAAACCAAAACGAAACATGGTGGGAACGACGGTTTCAAGATGGAAAGATGCACACAGTGAGGTTGAGAATCTTCCCTCCCGAATGCACAACCCAAGATATGAACGTAGCAGTTTTTGGCCCAGCTTATTACCAGCTGTATCAGTAGTAGGAAAGAAAGAAATCAATCAAACAAACAAAATACACAGCTTGAGGATTTTGAACCAGCCATCTAGAAAAAAGTAAGCTGCTTGAACCGAAATTTCTCTCTCTCCTTTTTTTTTTTTTTTTTGCAGGTCTATATGAGACTTCCTGGCCAGCAGATAACTGTCAAAGTGACTTTGTTCCTCTGTTCCTTCAACATAGGGACCAGCGCTGAATGGCTCATGCCCACGGTTGAAAGTCCATTCACTGCAACTATCATATCGCCGCATCTAAGAAAGGAAAAGGGGAAAGGGGGGGGGGTGTCAGTGAAGGTTACGAATCTGCTGCAGCTACGATGTCCATGCCCTTTAGCCCTGGCCTTTGGACTAAGACCCACAACTAAGACACCCGGCCATCTCAGGAGGGTTGTACCAGGGGCAGGGTCACCGTTTTCTTTTCACCTTTTCTTAATGTTTTTTTAAGACAAGAGCTAAGAGAGAGCAGAGCTGAAAGATGCAAGGCAAAGAAATAAGGAGAAAGTAGGGAGAGGGTCGAGGAGACAGGCAGAAGCAGACCGACAGACATATATGAAAAATTTTAAAAATGGGACCCCATTTAGCAGGCTGGGGTTAGAAAAGTATGTCCCAGGCCTGAAATTGATGAAGGTTTCTGCCTTACCAAAAGAGCTTTCTGATCAATAATACCTTGAGGAGCAATGAAAAAAGGTTGGAAACACACACAGGCAATGTCAAGTGAAGGATGCTGAAAGGACCTGCGTTTGAATTAAAGTACTGTTTTTATCATTAGCCATGTCGTGTGACACAAAGCAGAAATATCAAGGACATGCGCCACAATCCACAACAGGTCAGGGCAAAGTCACAGCGTTTATAAAAACAGGGAGCTGCTACAAAAAAAGGAGTCTTCTTTTAAATGCAGTATTGTGACATAATATATAGTGCTGGCAGTCTGTCTATAAGCACATTATTGCAACATAGGACTAAAAATAAACCCTTACTCATCCCTGACTATTAAATCCTTAGCCACAAAATAAAATTCTGATGCCTGCTTTGGAAAACTTTGAGCGGAAGATAGACCCAGAGTGGAGGAGCTGAGCTTCATGCACAGGTGGTATATCTGCACAACCTCTTTTTTCCCACTGGTAAGGAGATACTGGGAATAGCTGGGAGAGCTTATAACTGATTCCAACAGGTACCCTCAAATGTAGGGCAATGAGTGCAGATATCACATAACTAACAATGTTGCATGACACTGATCCTCCTAATATTGGAAAGAGCATTGTTCCTTGCAAGCAGGTCAGACAGTCTTCTCATGAGCAGGTCCATATATTTGGCATGGTGGGCTGGGGAGAAGAAATTGCTGGAACATGTCTGTTATATGGCTGGGGTGTGCACCTTGTTTTCATTCTAATGGTGCATTGTGGCAAAACCCCCTGAATACACGGAGAGGCTCTTTTAAACTGTAACAGGAAATGAGGAGAGGCTGGGCTGTGGGGGCTGTACGCAAAGCCCACAGCACCAGTCATTGGAGAGTGGGTGGTGGTGGTGGAGTTACAACTAGAGGGCTGAACAGGAACTGCAGCTAGAACAAGGCCTTAAGCTGAAGCGCTTAAGTGAATCGCAGCTAGCAGGAAGTACTGCTCCGTAGCTCAGGGTCCACATATTCTTATATTCATAGTGTTGGCCAGTTTAGAGGCTACATACTGTCTGTCAATCACAAGGGCAGATGGCATATCAAATGCCCCATGTTATCTTCTGTGCTTGAAGAGGGACCTGCAGCCTGAGCATCGTAAGCCGAGGTGGTTCAGTCCCAGCCTCTGGCCATGAGGTTCCTCGTTCCAACTCCAGAAGGGGGAAAGGCAGCTTAGCCTGAGCATCGTAAGCCAAGGTGGTCCAAGCCACGAGGTTCCTTGTTCCAACTCCAGAAGGGGGAAAGGCAGCTTTAGATATGCTCCAATTAGTATGCTGTAAGGGATGGACTTCTGGGCTTGTATCAGGGACAATGCCGTGAAGCTCAGTGGGTGACCTTAGTCCAGTCACTCTCTTGTCTACATCTACTTCACAAGATCATGTATGTTGCCCTGAGTTCCTTAGAGGAATGGTGGGATCAAAAATGTAAAAAATGAATAAACTGAATGACTATATGAGCCATGTATCCTCTGCAACACACTCTCTCTCTCTCTCCCTCCCTCACCTGTTATTCCCTGCTTTGCTTAGTGGCCATCAAATCCTAAATGTTATGCTTGCTGAAATCTAATCTCAACAGAAATGCAATTTACATTTCCTTGACTCAGACTTCAGGCTTCCTTTGGGGCGGAATAACTTACAACCCTGCATGATGAGATCCAGCACAGAGTACTGGTCAGAGCGTTGGATGAGAATCTTGGAGACCCAGGTCTGAATCCCCACTCTGCCATGCAAGCTTGCTGGGTGGCCTTGGACCAGTCACCATTTCTCAGCCCGACCGAAGCTCATAGGGTTGTTGGGAGATTAAAATGGAGGCAAGAAGAACAACGTAAGCGTCTTTGGGTCCCCATTGGGGAGAAAGGTAGGGTATAAATGAAGTTAAATAAATAAAACTGTTGACCTGCTCTTTCAGGGAAGTATAAAGGCGAAACAGCAAGGCTTACTTTAGTCTTCCATCAAAGTATGCTGGTGTTCCCAGGACAATCGTTTTTATGAAGAAAGGCTGGTTCGTGTGGTTCTCCTCATAGCCGCCCACAATGCTGAAGCCCCAGCTCGCTAAATTGCTCCTCCGCAGGACGACATCATGGCAGCTATGCAGGCAGCTGTGCAAGAAGAGAGCAAAGGGTGGGGGAGGAACATCGATCTATCTCCTCATTCATACCTAAAACAAAGCACCCTCTTGCCCTTTAACTGGAGCCCCAACATGCTTACAATAAAGACTGTTCTGCAAAGCTCATCAAGAAAATGTACAGAAAAATCATTATATTCAAGGCAGACAGCCACTAATGCAGGGAATGCAGGGGTCCCTAAATTTGTTAATTGTGTGTATTGAGAAAGGATTGTGGGCACCATTCCAAAATGGCATGGGAGATGGTAGGACGTCAAAAAATGGCTGCCATGGGATGTAATTACAAAAAGTTGGGAGGTTCCAAACCAAGTATCCTCCTCTGTGGGCAGCTATTTCTGAATGGCGACACTTTCTGGAATCTTCTGAAGCATTTCCTGTTCTTTTGAGACGGAAAAGGCTATTTTCTTTGGGCAGGATTGTCATTCCCCCGGTCGGGACAGGGGTTCCCCCGATTTTGGCCCCCCCTATCCGCTGCCAGCTAGCTGACCGACGGGGGAAGCCCCACCCCTGAACAGTAGCATCCCGCAGGGACACCACTGATGCAATGACCGGTAGTGATGTCATCATGCTGGGGTGTCACATGGCAACACTCTAACATTCGAGGGGATGTCATTTGCACATGGGGCAAAAAAATCCCCCAAGGAGCTGGGAGCCCCCCACTGCAGGTAAGGTGAGACCTGGCAACCCTAGGTTTTGGAAAGTGGTGTTTTGGGGAAGTGGTGCTTTGGGGAAGTTGTCAGGAAACAGATTGATGGGTATTATGGTACCCAGGGGTGCCATGTTAGGGATCACTGACTTAACCAATAACTGCCCTCTAATCTATAATTTTCTAAATTAGTGTTATAAGCATACAGTCAAACAAGTATCTATTTACATATATACAAAGAATTTTGCGGGGCCAAGGCTGATGGTTCAAAATCAGGTAAAATATATTTTATTACTTAGTTACATTTCCAAATAATTCCTTACACATTTTGCCAATAGGCTTCGTCGGGGGAATCTGTTTGCCTGGCAGTACACTTTTTGAACAACTACTGCAAGATGAACAGATTCCCCTGACGAAGCCTCTTGGCGAAACACGTAGGGAATTTTTTTGAAATTTAACTGACTAATAAGATACATTTTTACCTGATTTTGCACCATCGGCCTTGGCCTTATTTTTTAATCTCCTTTGACTGGTGTGGCTCTTTATTTTCTTGTTACAATAGAATTTTGTACAAACTCACAGATGGAGTCAAGGAATGAAAAATTTAAATGACAGATTTCTCTTTTTCTTCTCTAACAAGCTTGGTTAACAGTCAAACCTGCAAATATCTCTCCTATGGCTCTTTATCTAAACTATATATGTCTTGCCTTATCTCCTCAGACTCCGCATTCAAAACCACACCATGGCACCCTAGGGAAAGGGCAGGGGAGGGAAACTTGCTCATGTACTGTAACACATTCTAGAATTGCACACTTCCATGCTTAGGACTTATGGAACGCTTGCCAAAAAAAATGGCTACTGAAGCTAAACAAACTGCCCAGAGGGTGTTTCAAAGGCATGTCATCACAAAAAAGGCCACTGCTACAGAAGATAGCCCATACAAGGACAGGGACTTTGGTGTCAAGCAGTACCTTGGAAGTCCCAGCCACATCACCCATGAGGGTGACCAACTGGCATCATATTCATTCTCGCTGATGGTGCTTGGTTGTTCGTCAGTTGCCTGGGGCTGCTCTTCGGCGATCTGGACCTCCAAAGCTTTAAGGGAAACGACTGAGGAGGCTGTGCTGGCTTTGAGCATAGCCACTGCCTCGCTGTGACTCAAGTTGGTCAGATCAATGCCGTTTATATTCATCAGCACATCACCTGGACAAAAATGCAAGTGAACAAAAAAGCCTCTGTTAGGTGGACCAACGGCCCATAACTTCCCTGTGAAAATGGCAAGGCTGCTCATGTCTGCTCCTTCTCACTAGCACCCGGATCCTACAGGTACACAGGAGGCCTGAATATACAGCAGGCAGCATCCTGTGCTGAGCAAGTGCTGCTGCTTACAGATTACAAACAGCTACACATGATGTTTGTGGCATCTGGTCAGTGTTGCTGCCTCTGGGCTGAGTGAGAGCTTCATCTCTAGTTCTGTACCATTTCAGGCTCTTTCAATGTGATCACCAGAAGCAAAAGCAAGGAAACCAGTGGGGGAACATCTTGCCTGCAACAAATCACCTCAGCTGTGCTTTTGGGGGTGGGGTGTGTTTCTTTTGGGCCTGCAGGTATTTGGGCTGGAAGTGGCCAGGGGTTCAAGCTGATGGGCATAGGCTTGCCAAGTCCCCCTGGGGGGGGGGGACCCCCCCGCCCCAGAGGCCTGTTCCCCGCTGCCGGCGGATCGGGCCCTGGGGGGAACCCCACCCCGACGTGCACGTCATCCGAGGGAAAACTCTATGGTTTTCCCTCGGATGGTTGTAGCCCCGCCCCCAGCGTGCCCCGCGTCGTCACGTCACTTCTGGGTGACGTGCGCGCACACGCGTGCTCTGGACGCAACCCGGGAGTCCCCCGCTCCAGGTAAGAAAGCACTTGGCAACCCTAGATGGGCAAGGGTCAAAGGGCTCTTGGCCTATGGCTCATAAGCGGGGGTCCTACAATAGTTACCTTGGTAAAGAAGGACCCCCATACTGGATGTATGTTTTTTGTTTCATTTTGATGGTTTACATTATAGCATTTACTTTGAAAATTTCTGTTCGCCACTTTGGGTTTCTTGGGAGAGAAACAGCACAGAAATGTTTACATAAATAAAGAAGACAAACTGGGCAAAAGAAATGCAACAGTTTCTTAATTTTGCATACTACAGCACAAGTTGAGATAGGTGGGGTTGAGAGAGTTCTGAGAGAACTGTGACTGGCCCAAGGTCACCCAGCAGGCTTCATGTGGAGGAGTGGGGAATCAAACCTGGTTCTCCAGATTAGAGACCATTGCTCTTAACCGCTACACCATGCTGGCCCCAAGTATAGCAATGAGTATAAACTCATTTAGGAAGTTTAGATAAATAACTACCAGTTGCCAGGGTCTGTGCTGAACAGTTTTCCCATCAGTAAGGCTGATGTGTGCTTTCTACAGCCTTTGTGAGAGACCTGGATAACTATACCCTTTTGGAGACTAGCAGACTAAGGGCAGGAAAACACGTTTTGGACACACAGCTCATCATTTGAAGAATGTCTTGCAGACAACCTCCCTTCCCATAAAACGTTCTCTGAACAGTCAGCTGCACAATCAGTCCCAAAACCGGATGCATGCTCTTATGTGCAGCTGTGAGAGAACAGACTGTAGGCAGATCGTCAGCTTGAGAGAATTTGACAAATAACTTTCCATTCCCGCCAGGACGTTCCCTACAGCTCTCTTTATGAAAACAGCCATTTCCTCAGTGTGGGTTTAAATACTAAGCCTCCATTAATAGGATGATGATTTATTGCTTTGGAGTGTTCAAACAACTTCACCATTTTACTATCCTAGGAACCCTCCCAATAAAAACAGCAGCAGCAGCTCTGCATATCTATCACTTACAGTGTTTAAAGAGCTTCACAAACATCCATTTATTCATTGCATTTCAGATACCTCAAGGTTTTCCTTTTGTTTCTACAGCAACAAGCTTCCACAGATACCCACCGGAACACTATGGGTTGGATCCAGACTAAATTTTCCACTAACGGAAGAAGAGGTGTAATTTCTGCCAGTTCCCCCTTCCCTCTCCAGCCCCCCCCCTCTCCCCTCATACTATTCCTAAGAGTCCCCTGTCCCCCAAGAGCAGCATTTTGGGGAGATCAATGGGCCATAGCAGGAGCAGGGAGACAATCAAGTTCCATTTAGGTGACAAAAGCAATTTCCACTAGTGAAAATTTAGTCTGGATCCAACCCAATGTCTCGTAACCTTTACAACAGTTTTGTAAGGCAGGCCAGTACTATTACCCCCATGTTAGGCGTGCTGCATGGGTGGCAGAGAGTGATTTGCCCACTGGGTTTGTGCCAGAGGCGAGATCTGAACCAGGGACCTCTTGGATCACACCTCACCCGCTTAACCACTGCACCACACCGGCTCTGACTGTATTATTATTATTCCCATATTACAAGAGGGCTGCCACGGATGGCAGAGACAGTGGTTGCCCTAAGGCCACCCACCAAATTCATGGCAGAAATGAGATCTGAACCGGGAACTTCCTGGTTCACCACTTGTTCCCTCAGCTGCTTCTCCACAGCAGCTTCCCCGTACTAGAAACACATTTTCTAGTGAATGCATGCTGTGTTTGCATGGAAGCTGTTGCGTTACTATGCAACAGGGTTGCAATCCACCATGAAGTTACTATGATATGAATGGAAGCTCCTCTTCATTACAAGGGAACAAGCTTTGTGCAAGGGAGCTTCCTAAGGGGAACTGTGAACTTATTCGGCATGAGAGCCATTTGGAATTCCTACCTCTTTTAATCCTTCCGTCTCTCGCCAGGCAGCCATGGGGCTGCACACTCGTGACAAATATCGGCAATTCCCCACTTTTGCTGCCTCGGCCTCCAGCCACAGTCATGCCGAGGGATTCGTGGGGTTCCTTCTTCACCGTGATGTGCTTCTCTTGACAAGTGACGCACTGGGAAAGATCCTGCAATGAGATGGTGAAGGTTTTTTTTGTTTTTTTAAAGGACATTAAAGTAAGGTTAAACCCGTGTTTAACCATTTATGGTTGGGCCTCCCCCCCCCACATGGCATGCCTTCATGGACTTCCTTGGAAATAGGTTAAACCCATGTTTAACCATTTATGGTTAGACCTCCCCCCCCCCACGGCATGCCTTCATGGACTTCCTTGGAAATACAAATAACAGTGCAAGTTTCTAGTCCTTGAGGCTGTGCCAGCAATCCTAGAAATATAAAGTGACGTCTAGTGAAAGCTCCAAAACCTGATGAAGTCTATGAAAGGTTCTGAACAACCGAAGAACATGGGAGTTCCCTCGCAGATTCCTGTCCATCTTTGAAAGCTATGATTCTTTCTCCCTTGGTATATATCCCTACGGGCCATTTGAGGTGGCGGTCGGCTGAAGAATACAGCAAAGGGAGCTGGAGCCAGTTCTTATATTGCTTTACGTAACAATACACAGCTTGCCTGCCTGACCTCGTAGGGTGATCTCATGTTCTTCATTTGTGCTTATACACTGTATTATATATGGAAGCAGATACTTATAGGCAGGGAAAGCTGCTGAGTAAGATTAAGAAGGGGAAGAACGACAGTGTAATCTTATGCACAATTACTCTGATCAGATGGGAGTCAATTCTACATAGGATCCCACTGTTAGTCTCTCTAGGTTTTAATTCTTGAATAAGATCCTTATCCTGGTTCATTTAACACTACAGCAACTGCTAGTCTTTGCAGATATCTGATAAAGTACGCTGTTTACATGAAGGTGCTGACTTGTGAGCTTTATTGACCCGCGGCTCCCTCATACCCTTGGAGAGCCACGTAATGTTAACCCATTGCATGCCCTTAACCAAAGCCTGCATTGCTGGTGGGAGTGCAAAGCTATTAAAAATTGTTGGTTACTTGTCATTCGAAAGATCAAGGTGTTAACTGATTATAATATACCATGGGATCCAGGTTTAATTCTACTAAATTTATGGCCTGCTGATGGGTTTTCATTTTCTAGTAGAAAACTGGTTGGCACTTTACTTACGGCAGCAAAAATAGTTATTGCCAAGCATTGGAAGGACCCAAACTCTCCAAGTATACAACACTGGCTACATAAGGTGTGGGATTTATTCTTATTAGAGAATTTTAATACGTTTCACTCAGAAATCCAAACAGAATGTGAAATGATGAGCCCACTGCATGCTTGGTATCCTTTGCTGGATAAAATTGATATAGACAAATTTGACTGGGAGAATCTCAGTAATGTTAAATATAAGTTATTATTGTATAATGGATAATTGTTATCTTGTAATGTTATTGGAAAACGGTGTTTGCAATACCTTTGCTTTGTTTTTTTTATCCTTCCTGTTGAAATTGTTCCTGTGTGTATAAAATTCTTAATAAAATGTATTGTTAAAAAAAAAAAATCAAAGCCTGCAGATGTAAAATCTGATCTCATTCAGACTTACCTTATGTGGGCTGGGCCTATTACTATGATACAGCTGATGAGACTGGTGTTGGCTGATGGGATGACTCCCACCGTCTCTGAGGATGCTCATGATCTGGGACTTGGCTGGCCTGGAAATGGTTAGACTCACTCTTTCACCACTGGCCTGTGGAATAGAGATATAGAAAAAAGAGAGGGGAAATACCTGACATTATTCCTTGCAGGTTGATTAATGAGAATCAAACACAACCCAGATACCCTGTAACATGAGCAGGTTAATTTCATCGTATATGCTGCCTTCCAGATGGAATTCACTGCCACAGGAGGTGGTGGCAGCTACAAGGATGGACGGCTTCAAGAGGGAACTGGATAAAGAAGAGAAGAAGAGAAGAGATTGGATTTATACCCCGCCCTTCAGTTGGAGTCTCAGAGCGGCTTACAAACTCCTTTCCCTTCCCCTCCCCACAACAGACACCCTGTGAGGTGGGTGGGGCTGAGAGAACTCTGACACAAACTGCTCTTTTTCAAGGACAGCTGTGCCAGCGCTTGTGACTGACCCAAGGTCACATAAGCAGGTGCAAGTGGAGGAGTGGGTTCTCCCAAATTAGAGTCCACACACTTAACCACTACACCAAACATATGGAGCAGAGGTCCAGCAGTGGCTATTAGCCACAAGGTATAGATAGAAACTCACAGGCTGGGGCAAGTGATGCTCTGTATTCTTGGTGCTTGGGTGGGGGGGCAATAGTGGGAGGGCTTCTAGTGTCCTGGCCCCACTGCTGGACCTCCTGATGGCGCCTGGTATTTTTGGCCACTGTGTGACAGAGTGTTGGACTGGCTGGGCCATTGGCCTGATCCAACACTGGCTTCTCTCATGTTCTTATGAATACACTGCACAAATGATATATTTAACTTAAGAATTTACACAAGTATTGATGCAGACATCTTTAAGCTTATGCCTGTATAATTAAAGTTGGGCATCACTAGTATTATAATATCTATTTATGAAACTATTGGGTCTCTCCTCAGAATGGTCACCTGAGCACACCAAAGTATTTTAATTGGCCTGCACTTCCAAGATGGAATCCCTTATCATTGGCCAGGGAAAAAAGAAAACTCAGCTCCTGAAGCTACCAGCAGCTGGATGGTGGGGTTGACAGTGGGAGCAGAAACATCTGGGACATTCTCCCCCTTTATCATCTGTATCAGTCCCAGCTTCTCAGCATTCCACCAGGTTCTAAGAGATGCTGCAGTATTTGGGGACGCTTCCTTGACTACATAAAAACAGAACAAAACAGCAAAGATGATAGAAGTGTGCATTTTTATTTATTTATTTACATCATTTGGTACGTTTCTCCCCAGCGGGGGACCCGAAGTGGCTACATCGTTTTCTGCTGTCCTCCATTTTCTCTTCACAACAACCCTGTGAGGTACATTAGGCTGAGCGTGTGAGACTGGTTCAAGGTTACCCAGCAAACGTCCATTGCAGAGTGGGTGGGGTGGGTGGGTTCAAACCCGAATCTCCCAGATCCTGGTCCGACACTCTGACACCACACTGGCTCTCATTTCATCTCAGTAACTGGTTATAATTTTAATTTTTTTAAATTTGCATTGTAAACCACTTTGAGAACCCATCTAGCAGAAAAAGCAGTATATAAAAACATAAAATCCATTAAAAAACAATTTAAAAAAATGACATATAAATATATGACCATCCACATTTGGTACTTGTCTGGCAAGCAACCCGAGTAAATAGGAGAGGCCTTGTTACTTTCTCACAGCATCCTCCACTGAAGCATGTTTAGAGGGAAGGAGGTTAAGGGCACTCCTCTTTGCAGATCATAATATTTTCTGCACATGTTTGTGCCCTGTCAATAGTGTGTTGGTGGTAAATATACAATCAACCTGTATTCTCTAAAGAGCTCAGGGTAGGGTCATGGGGAGGATCCCATTGTATCCTCACCCAGTTACCTAGTAAAGCTGAGAAAACCTTAAGAAAAGAACTGAAAAAAGAACAGCACCTGGAATTGCCCCCAGAGTCCACATAACTCAAGCAACACAGCCAAGTTAGGTGTTAGATGAGAACCCTCCCCTTCTCTAATCTGACCTGAGGGAACATTCCTGTCTCATCCACAATACGCAAACTGGGGGATCGTTCTTTCTGGTGTGTGTATGTGGGTAGAATGCAAAAAAAGGAGAGCATTGTGTAATTTTTTGTCTAAAAAGGACATGGGCAGGATATATGGGTTCCTACGGTATTATACTGTTGGCTGGAACTAAAATAATTTACGCTGAGAATTTGTTTAATCCAGTGTCACTGGTAATGGTGGAACAAGTAACAGTAATACATTCATTTAGGTAACTCCTCCACTGGCTCTTGGCACTCAGATAATGACATGATAAGAAAACAGGTTTCTTCTGTAATATCCTCCTTAAAGGGTGAGAACAATGAAAATGAACTGCAAGGGCTTCATCAGTAGACAAGGGTGTTAATGTGTAACGGATCATACATAAAACGGGTAATCCAATTTTAACATCTTGGTATACTATAGCAGCAAAACAACATGGTTATAATCGAGCCTGTCACAGCAATTTCCAAAGAAGCAGAAATTAATGCTGTTTATCTGACGTTCTATGATTCTATGACATGCCGTAAGCTGATCTCTTAAATACTGGTTTCAGCAGGGAAGCTGAGAAAGTACGAATGTGTAAAATGGTAAATCAAGGAGCTGAAATGGCACAAGGGATACAGACTGTGTGAAGTAAGTATTCTGCTAACAAAATATTTGCAATTTGGGGTAGGAGGCCTCACCCATCTGCTCCTGCCTCAGCAGTACTGGCTCCTTCCTCACTAACAGCGGCCACAGGACCCTTCTTTCCTTTCTTCTCAGTGTTTTAAAATTCCGTTTTGCAGTCTGGTGTCCCACCTCCACCCCACTTCCCAAAAGCTTCTTTTTATGTGCCCACTTTCTTTAGAGGAGGAGGAGGAGAAGAAGAAGAGGAGATTGGATTTATACCCCGCCCTTCACTACCCAAAGGTGTCTCAGAGCGGCTTACAAACTCCTTTCCCTCCCCCTCCCCACAACAGACACCCTGTAAGGTAGTGGGGCTGAGAGAGCTCTGACAGACTTCTCTTTTTTCCAAGAACAGCTCTTATCAGAACTACGGCTTGCCCAAGATCATCCAGCCAGCTGCAAGTGGAGGAGTGGGGAACCAAACCCGGTTCTCCCACATTAGAGTCCGCGCACTTAACCACTACACCAAACTGGCTCTCTGCTTTAGTGTTTAAAGTTTCATGGATGGATTTTTGAATTTTGCCTATCAGCTTGTCACTTGGTGGGACTCTGGAGGATCAACCTATAGTAGAGTGCACTGGCAGTGTGAGATCCACGGTGGTGCAGTGTTTAGAGTGTCATACCCAGGTTCATATCCCCATTTTGCCATGAAACCATGTCATGGGTGCTTACTGGGTGACCTTGGGCCAGTCACTCTCTCTTACAGGGTTGTTACGAGGATACAATGGAGGAGAGGAGAATGGTATACGCCGCTCTGGGTTCCCACTAGGAAGAAAGGCAAGGTATAAATGAGCAAGTAAATAGGACCCACTCTGATTTTTTGCAGCCCTTGCCCTTCACTGAGTCAAATGGAGCTTTTATCCTGGCAGATGCCCTTCCTGGTTAAAAAGGAGAAGACTTTCTCAGAAACCTCTGAATCAATACAAAGGTCACAGAGGGGCTGATGCTATATCTTCTCATTTCAGAAGGTACCTGCATTCCCCACTGTTATTTGGTGATGTTGCAGGTCGAGGTCAACACCATCGCTGCTGAACAGGAGAACGTCTAAACTTTTCAGCAGCTTGGCTTGAGAAAGTTTGTCTCCATAGGCAGCAGAAACTGGCCATCAGTAATCAAAACTGGAGAGGCTACATCATGCTAAACTGCCTTTAATGAATACATTTTTTAAAAAAACCCTTCCTTATATTGTCACACTCTTGGTTCAAATAGCTCAGTGTTGTCTAATATCACTGCCAGTATGTAGCTCTTCAAGGTCTCAGCCAGAGGTGTGGAACTGCAGCTACGTAAGAGCCTTTCCCATTGGGAAAAGCGAGCTTTGAAGATGAATGAGTTGCACTGAGCCAAGACATGCCATTGGTCTGTGAAGCCTGTAAAAAAAAAAAGGATGTCTATATATAGCCAGAGAGGGTTCTGGCAAACCCATGCACAACTCAGAATGTAGAAACAGACACACAAAAACCTGTCTTCGTGTGACAAGCAAATGACCTACAAGAAACTGCTTTAATGTACAGTTTTATTATGGGAAGCGGCCTCATTGCTCAAGTAAATTCTGAGGAAAGGCACTGTTACGGTAATCAGCTGGCTCAGCTCTCTGCAGATATGCCCTATTAGTCAGACACGGCATTCCACTATTTATACTCTCTCTGATAGCGTTCTTGCTTAGCTGAAACTCATAGTATTAACAACCTTTGGTGACTTCCTAGTGTGCTCCCACCCTATGAGATTCAATATAATTTACCTGGATAATCTGAGCGGCCAGTTCAGGTGTGCCGTGCTTCAGGTCATGCCCATTGATTGCCAACACCTTGTCGTTGCTGCAGAGTCGGCCGTCTTGAGCAGCCAAGCCACCTTCCAAGAGATCGAGGACAAAAACTCCCGGCTCGTCCGTTCTCCGCACCAGCTTAATACCAAGCTGTTCATTGGAGTCGCGTTTATGCAGAGTCACGTGAAAACTCTCCTCACGCTGAGGAGGGCCATCACTGTGGTTGTGAGTCCGGCTTCCAAACCGCCTCTCCCGGAGGACGGTGAGGTGAAGCACGGTGCAAGGCTGGGAGAGGATGGCCCTGGCGTGGTTGTGGGAGACGTTACTGATGTCAAAGTTGTTGACCTGGAAGAATTACAGAAACACGTTCGCATACACTGCTCCTCAAAATACACCTCGCGGGGATGGTCCAAATTTTTCATAAACATTTTGGACGTTGCTACTTCTGAAAACTAAAAGGCCAACAATCAACTTTGGGCTCTATCTGCACAGTTTCTGTAACATTCTTGAAACAGCTGAGCCCTAACAACTGCATATACTTGGTCACTTGGGGAGGCTTATAATTTTAGGGGTATTATGCAGTGCTCGGGAGCTGCGGTGGCTCAAGTGGTTAAGACGCTGAACTGCAGGCTGTGGAAGGTCGGTAGTTCAGCAGTTCGAGACCCGAGTGTGCCACATGACGGAGTGAGCTCCCGTCTCTAGTTCCAGCTCCTGCCAACCTAGCAGTTCGAAAGCAAGACATTGCAAGTAGATAAATAGGTACCACTTCGGTGGGAAGGTAACAGCGTTCTGTGCGCCTTGGCGTTTAGTCATGCCGGCCACATGACCACGGAAACGTCTTCGGACAGCGCTGGCTCTTTGGCTTTGAAACGGAGATGAGCACCGCAACCCTAGAGTCGGATTCGACTGGCTTTCGAGCAAGGGAACCTTTACCTTTACCTATGCAGTGCTCACAATGCCGGACATTGGATTGCCGGTGTCAGTGTGTGATCCAAGAGGTGTGAATCTGCAGCCTCTGCCAACCCTGTAAGTGATCCTTCTGCCATGTCCCTTTATCAGCATTCTCAAAACTGCTGCTGCTCCAGGTGGCCCTCCAGTTACCACATATGCAAGCAAACGATCACAAGAAGCCTCCGAAGTTCCTTCGCTGGATTCCTCTGTCATACAAATGCCCCCCTCCTATCATTCACACACGGACTCCAGAACACTTAGTTTTTGTCTAGAAGGGTATCTCTAAGTTCATAAGTAGGAAGTCACAGCTTTTTCAAACCCAGGCTACCATCTGTTGTTTTGGAGGGGAGGGGGCTTCCTGGAAAAAGTAAGGTAAAAAATATAAAGTGGTTTGTCTAGGGGGGAAGAAGCTACATAAATGAACTGCAGTGATGCTTGCGCCTGTACTAGGTAAACTGTGTAAACATCTTATCCAAAATAACCTCTCAGGGCACTGAAGAAGGCCTGTCAAGCTACAGGCAACAAAAACATTTCCCATTACTCACAAAAGAAAGAAAGAACCACTCTGCTTTTATTTCCCAATTAAAAGAAGGATGCAGCAGAAAAGAAATATTTCTAGAAGGCAAAACCCCAAGAGTCACATAAATCATTGGTATCAGTATGGAAATAGCAAATCCTACTTTGCCTGAATAATGATGTTTTCCAACTAGAACCTCCTAAGATAAAAATCACCTCGAATTTCAACTAACTGCCAGGAAACACCCGTTATCTGATATAGCTCTGCACAGTCCAGACAAATGCAGGTCGAGAAGAATATAAAATTAGACACATGCCTGCAGTATTTGATCCCCGGCAAGGAGCCTTCCATCTCTGGCGATAATTCCATCGCGATAAACCTCTTGAATAACAATGTTGATCAAAGGTGTTTCATTGCCACCCACTATGCTAATTCCCAGCTCGATATAAGGATTGGACCGATGAATTTCAATGGTGGTGATTTCGCCTTCCGGCAAGCTTGGCGGCTGATGGGTTGCTGCCCAATTTGAAGAAACAAACAAAAACATGCACCTAAATATATTTGCAACAGAGCAAATTATTTCACAAACCAACGAGAGCAACACCTGACATATCACAATGCAAGTAAATTAAACCAGACTTGTCCAGCTTTTGAACTGCCAATAATTATAATAATTACCATACGGCAGTGTGTGTTGTATAACCAGGAGATCCTAAGATCGTCTGGCAGCCAGAAGTTCTAGCTCTTTTAGCGTTATGCACCACTAGGTGGCGAGCTAAACTGGTTTTTAAGGCAAGAGACCTTTCAGAGGTGATTTGCCATTGCTTTCCTCTGTGTCAAGCCCCAGATATTCCTGCTTAGCTTCTGAGATCTAATGAGATCAGGCTATCCTGAACTGCTGAATCAAATGCAGCCCAACTAGTGTTGGCTACGTACTTGCTATTGGGACTGGCAGGGCCTTAATGACCCCTTCTGTATTTGCAGTCCCATGGAGGCAACAAAAATAGGAGGCATATTGAGCCCCTTGGCAGGCTACTATTCCAACATACAAAGCTGCCAAGTCAGACCACTGGTCTATCTAGCTGAGAGGAGGAAGCAGAGTTTTACTCTCCTATCCTGCAGGTTCCCATTTGTTAAAACTATTTATTGATTTCGTTCATTTATACCCTGCCTTCTACCCCGACAGGGACTGAAAGTGGCTTGCATTGTTCTCTGTTCTCCTTCATTTTATCCTCACAACAACCTCGCGAGGTAGGTTAGGCTGAGAGTGTGTGACTGGCCCAAGGTCACCCAGCAAACCTCCATGTTGGAGTGGTGACTGTAATCACTATACCACGCTAGCTCTAGAACATCGCCCCCAATATTCTTTAGATATGGACACATGTATAAACAAATAAGGTTCCTTTCTCCCTCTCATCACTTTTAGTGTGATCCACAGACAAGTTAAAAGAACATTGATGGGATTAGTAAAATTACTCTGGAAGCCAGGTGGAGAGCCACTGTCCTCTCATCCGTTTGGAAGCATTCACTTAGAAGCTTTGTTTTTAAAAAGCAAATTGCTGTTGCGTAAACACAGGCAGGCAAAATGGAAGGAAAGCAGGCAATTCATGAATGGCGAGACACGTTCCGCATTAGGAACTGAAAGCGGAAAGGCCCCCTTCGGTTCCAATAAGGCTTCCCTTCCTCTGTAAAATTCCAGGTGCTGGAAATGTCACTGCTGGGTCACCCCATTACTCAGTGATTCCTTTTGTAGGAACAGGATAACAGCCCATAGGTGGGAGTCCTGTTGACGGAGGGCATAAGTGGAGAACATAATCTTCACAAACAGCTCGGAAAGGAGGAGGAATGCCTTTCCTCAGATAGTTTTTGCCCCCGTGGACTTATATTAAACATAAAGAACTTTTAAAAAACCAAGTTTCTGCCTGTTTAATCAAGGTGCCTTTTTAATTGATCTAAATATTTTAAGCTACTGAGCTGATTGATTTACTAAATGCTGCAGCCTTGGAGTAGTTTTTGAGAAAATGCATTACTGCAATATGGCTAAGGAGCAGTCAGTGGCCAGGACGCATGGCTGGGTGGCAGAGCATCTGGTTTGCATGCAGAAGGTTCCAGGTTCAATCCCCAGCACCTCCAGTTAAAAGAATCAGGTAGTAGGTGATGTGAGAGATCTTTGCCTGAGATTGAGGATCTGGAAGATCCAGCTCTGAATCCTTACCTCTGCCATAGAAGCTTGCTGGGTGACCTTGGGCCAGTCACATACTCTCAGCCTAAACTACCGCACAGGGTAGCTGTGAGGAAATAATGGTGGTGAGGAGAATGAGGTAAACCGCTTTGGGTCCCCATTGGGGAGAAAGGTGGGGTATGAATACATAATAAACAAACTGCTGAGTTAAATCTCTTGAAAAGCCCTTGTAAGTTAGCACTTGGCTATGTCACCCACTAAGATAACTAAAAATGGTTTAGATCTGTGGTACTCATGCTGCAACCCACAGAGAGCGACATTTGAAGTTGCCATCAACCATAATAGCCGCATTGGTTTCCACCCCTGGGATGGAGCCTGCACCTCAAGGCAGCTCACAGCTTACCTGTTCCTCCGGTGGTAGCTGTTGCAACATGGGAACCACCTGCCAATTGCTAGCTCCACAAGGCAATGTCTTTGCCCATTTTCCTGAATTTCCATGGAGCATGTGCCATATTGGGTAACATCGCTCAGGAGAGCCATATGTAGCTCTCAAGCCACTGAGGGCATGGCTATCAGCCATGATAGCAGAATGGATCTTTCACATCCAGAGGCTGTGTATCTTTGAATATAAATATGGAAGTTTTGTGATGTGTCTTCAAATGCAGTGGGCCCTGGCCTGGAAACACTGCCCTCTAGAAGGAGGGGATTTCTAGAGAGAGGCTGGGTGAATGGTTGTCTAGCAACAGGATGAGAGAGGGATGGGATGAACTCTAAGGGAGAACAGAAAGAGCTGAGGCATTTTTCTTCTGAGGGAGTGGAGAATTTTCTGAAGAAGAGCTTCCAGAGGAAAAAAGCCTATGGAGATGGAGACAGGCTGTTGGCATAAAAGTGGACATCTTCTGGCCTGGGCGTTTGATCCTGAGGGTTTGTGGGACTTCTGTTGTTATGTATGGAATGGAATGTATGTATGTAGTGAGCTTGAGTCTAATGCAAGGTATTGTAAACTGACCTATCAGAACAAGGGAAGTTCTGGAGGGAAGCAATATGATTGGTCTTTATGTACAAAATATGATTGGTTGTTATCTGACATATGGGCGTGGCTTGCCAAGCCCGGTCTGTTTAAAAAGGAGCCTGTTGCTCAGTTGTTTGTCTCGTTCTGGTTCTTCTGACTTCGTGTTCAATAAAGCTGTTATCACTGTTCACCTGCTGCCTCGAGTCTCGTATCTAACATGTTGTGACTGTGAAGAAAAGTAACTTCTCAGAGCTTGTGAAGAAGAGAGACCTCACCAAGTATACAATGTGACCTCTCTGCAGTTTCTGAGTCAGAGCCCAGAGACTGAAGAGACCTCCTTCTTTTTTTTCATCCTGACTTTGGACCAGTGTTCCCTCTAAGCTGAGTTAGTGTGAGCTAGCTCACAGTTTTTTCGCCTCCGGCTCACACATTCTTGTCTTAGCTCAGGAAGGATGGCTCCAGAGCAAACTAATTTATGCAGTAGCCAAATTGTTCGCTCACAACTTTAATTCCAGTAGCTCGCAAAGTAGAATTTTTGCTCACAAGACTCCACAGCTTAGAGGGAACATTGCTTTGGACTGCTCAATATAATTTATTATTCTCAGTGTTTTGTTTAAAACTCCCAGGTCTGATCCCATTTGTTTCACCACCTTTAACTAAACGCTATGTTGTCTAAAGATGTTCAGGATTTGAATGTGACCGCTAACCTGACCCTTCTAAGGCTAAAAGGGTTACATATAAATACTATAAATAAATAAATTAACTGAATGTGAGATGCTGGGGACAAACGACTATAAAAGGCATGCCCTGCCTGTGAGCTTCCAAAGGAATTTGGCCGGCCGCTGCAGGAGGACACAGTGATGGGCAAGATAGGCCCTTGGTCCAATCCATCAAGGCTCTTCTTATATTCAGTTGAGTTCAAGCAATTTACAGCAAGTGCTGACTGGAGGATGGATGCAAACCCTTGAGAAACTGCAGCATGAAGGGTAAAGTGAAAAGCAAATGCAGAGGAAGAGCTGCAATCGCTCTAGACTATGCAAACAAGTCTAAGCATAATTAGATGGACATATTCAAGCTACTGCAGGAAAAGGCACTTCCCCACATTGCCTATATATCAATCAGGGTAGTTGGAGGATCTGCAACATGCTTCAGGCGTTCACGGGGGATTCATAAAGTACGGTCAAAATGTGAGTGGAAATCAGTTGTCTTGCAGGGTTCACAATCAGTTTAAAAACTGGGTAACTGCACATCCAAACGAGCGTTGTAGTAATTCGTTTTATCATTTTATTCATATACACACGAAGGACAGTTTTAACTGATTAGTCAATTAAAATGGATACAACAAATCAATGGTGATTCCTTTTAATAGCCCTAACTAGTTCACAAGATTGTATGAGTTAATGAGATGAGGGTTTTTAATTTTTAAAAAATAACTTAGGAAAATTGCTTTCGCGGAAGAGAAAAATCCTAACCTGAGACTTCCTAAAATTTAGGTTTGGATAGAGGCAGAGCAAACCGAATGTCAAAAGAGAAACAGAACATACTGTCAGCCCCTGTGTTCTCCTCAAAGGCAGGGTTGTCAAGGCCAGACTCATCTGTCCACACAGGAACAGTTGCTGATGTAAAGCTCTGCTCCGCTGGCGCCGTGCCTGTCCCAGCATGCTCTGCATCAGGAGACTGAGAACCTGGCCGATCTATCATACCGCTCTCGCTCTCACTCTCCGTGTCTGCCTGCAATTTGCTATTTTTTCTCCTCTCCAAGGCAGCTCTTCGATGGGAAGCCCCGGAACACCTAGAAAGGAAATACTACAGTGCCTTCACAAAATATCAGGAACATCACAAAATGCTTGAACATCCCAGGAAAACAAAATCAATCTTTCTCCAGTAGAAGTATTTGGCATCCTTCTACAACACTGATTTCAGAGCAAACCAATCAATTCCACACACCAATTCCAAATGGATATCTTTGTTTAACACTCACACCTGGTTCTGTTTGTTTGTTTCAATGAGTATTAACAAGTCACCAGTGAAATACCTTTTCCCCCTCCCTGCTAAAATTTGTCCACCTTGAATTTATTTAAGCTTGGAAAAGCATGACAACCAAAAAATCCACCTTTGTCACATAATAACCAGTGACTGAGAGACTAATTTGCTTGGCATGGACCAAGACTGAATCCTGCTTGATCACTGTATTTTGCCTGCTGCCTTTTGAACTATGTGCTTCCAACACCCTGCTTTCCCCCTTTGTCATTGGTGCATCCCAAAGCAAACTACCCTTATAATCCAGTCCAGCTTAAATTTTTGAAAGGCTTCTTGGATGTGGGCACATGGAAAGAATTGGAATTTTAACATTCCCAAGTCCTTTGCACTACATGCGTACACTGAATTCTGAGTTCAAAGATTAGCTACATGTTAGAGATAACAACCTGAAATGGGAAGAGGAGGAAAACTGCTGAGTGAACTATATTAAACCAGGGAACTACCTTTTCTGTGAACTGTGCTGCCCACACAATGACCCTGCACTCTTTATACTCCAATACATCCACTCCTGCAATTTCCTCTTCAAACTTTGGCCTGTTCGGTCCCTCTGACCACCACTGGCTGATTCACTCTGACATCACAGAGCAATCAACCACACGCTTAACTAGGGCTTGGGTCATTAATAAACAACTTTTGTTTAAAAGTACTGCATCATTACTAATACACTGAACGTCTGTTCCTCCATTCTTCCATTACAGAATTCAAGAAGCATTAAATAGAGTTTCCAGGAAGTCTCTCATCTAGGCACTCACCAAATCCTGACCTACTTAACTTCAGCAACTTGCTTTCCAATCCAATGGCATTATAGAATAAGGAGGAAGAAAAATAAAAGAGATTAGGGGTCAACTGTGATGAATCAGTCTGTGACATTTTCACATACAAGTTTTAATAAATGAGAAACCCAAAGGAAATTAAACCTATGCATACAAAAAGCCAGCCTTGACCTGGATGGTACAGGCTAGCCCAACCTCGTCAGAACTCAGAAGCTGAGCAGGGTTGGCCCTGGTTAGTACGTGGATGGGAGACCACCAAGGAAGTTCTCAGTTGCTATGCAGAGGCAAGCAATAGCAAACCACCTCTGCTTGTCTCTTGCCTGGAAAACCCCATAGGGTTGCCGTAAGTCAGCTGCGACTTGACAGCACTTTCCACCACCATACAAAGAGTGACCCACAATGAAGATCTGATGTCGCATGGCAGATACCGCACCTTGAATTTTGCACGTGGAGCCAAACACAAGATTCCTACTCATATCTGTCCAATATGAAGATGAGTGAGAGATCAACTTGCTGGCAGCGCCTGGATGTGCCTGGCTGATCCCATGCATTTATCCCCCAAATGTGGCATTGAGAGCCAGCATGGTGTAGTGGTTAAGAGTGGCGGACTCTAATCTGGAGAACCAGGTTTGAATCCCCACTTCTCCACATGGAGCCTGCTGGGTGACCTGGGGCCACTCACAGTTCTCTCAGAATTCTCCCAGCTTCATCTACCTCACAAGGTGTCTGTTGTGGGGAGAGGAAGGGAAAGGAATTGTAAGCCACTTTGAGACTCAAGGGTATAAACACTAATTCTTCTGCTTCTTTGTACGCACATGCAGGAGCATAAGATAGAACAATGGGCTGCACTGCTTCAGGCTTTAGGTGAAGGATCACGGTTTGGAATCCTCCCCTAAAAATTCCCAGAGCAGGGAGCCAGAGCATCAAGCAAAGAGAAGAGACAGATCCTCTCTCCTTACTTGTGGTAGTTTTCTATTTAGGGAGAGGATTTTAACAAAAAAAATGCAAAGGAACATCCCAAACTGGAACACACCAACGGCAGTTTGAAGTAGTACAGTCCGTTCTGCCATCTGATTCCCACCCCGTTTTTCTGCATGCATGAACCAGGCCTTTATTCCATGAAGCAGAATCCCTTAGAGAACATCCTGTCATCCGCTAACCTGATATCTGCTCTTTTGTAATCGTGTGTCTGTGTGTCCGACCCCAGAACACTTAAGGAGGATCAAACAAAAGGTAGCAAGGTTCAAATAAGTAATGTTGGACCTGTGTTCACTAAATGACTTTGGCGGAGTACATTTCCATTAGTGCTGCAACTATTTAAATATTAACAACGTTTCTCAATACCATATACCAAAGAATTAAAGTCCACCTGAGACTTGTGGAAGTTGGTTACAGAGGAGCCGGAAGGGCTTCCAAGGGTCCATGGCTCTCAAGGGAATCTACTGAACCTGAAAATCTGATAAATCAAGGGGATGCTAATGAAGCAACAGGGTAATATCGGGGTGGGGTTAGTGACCAGGAAATAATGACATTTTGTGCCTTATTCTAATCTTCTTGTTAGCTCGCCCACAGATTTGACACACGCTCCAAAGTTGCCTGTGGGGTTACACTGACATTTCATTCTGCTTTTATGCTTAAACGAAGCAGATTATTCTGTCAACGGAAGCCAACCAGGCTGAGTCAGACCATTTCAATGCTAAGGCTAGCCAAGTCTATTCCAGGGCGGTGTGGTCTGGAATAATAGAGGACTGGCTGGCCTCGGACCTGGGAGGTGGATTTCAACCTTGAACTCAAACCTGGATACACTTGGATGAACATGTGCAACCCACCGTGTTTTTCCAGCATCCATTTGCACATCTATAAAACAATACCTCTCATAGTTTCACTGAGCATGAATACAATAAGGTGTCCAAAGCACTTCATGTACATACATACTGTCAAGTCACAATTGACTTATGGTGACCCCAGCACGGGGCTTTCAAGGCAAGTGGGAAGCAGAGGTGGTTTGCCATTGCCTTCCTCTGCAGAGTCTTCTCATCAAGGTACTGACCCTGCTTAGTTTCCAAGATATGATGAGATTGGGAGGTATAATGCCGCCTCCTCTCCCCCAAAGCACACTGAAAATGGTATTGTAATGATAACAATGGTACCGTGGATCTTCATTAAGACATTCAACCCTGTCTTGCACAGAGGGATGCAGACAGTACAAATTTACTCAACTAATGAGCCTGACATCCCTGCAATCACACAAGGCTTCTTGGCAATAACTCTATGAAGCACAGTTGCCGGGAAACAGTTACTCTTGCCCCTACAAGTAGGGCACCTATTGGACAGGGACTTTTGACCTTATTGCCAGATGTAGAACTGGCCTTTGCTCCTGTCTTCTTATGCCATTTTGAGATCACACTGGGGGTTTTTTGGTAATAGAAGTACTTATAAAAACATAGAAGGATTGTACCATCTTTGAATTTTTAAAAATAGCCTACTGATATACATATGAAGCTGCCTTATCCTAAGTCAGACCATTAGTCTATCAAGATCATTGTTGTCTATTCAGACTGGCAGCAGGTCTCCATGGTCTCTGGTAGATGTCTTTCAAATCAACTACTCCCTGATACTTCTTTTTAATGGGAGATGCAGGGAATTGAACATGGGACCTTCTGCTTGCCAAGCAGATGCTCTGCCACTGGGCCAGGCGCTTCGTTTCCCATGTAAAGGGCTCTCAGCAAAGTTTCAGACCTGATCAGCCAATGACCCAAACATGCTACAAAAAAGAAGAAAAAAACGCTTCCATTGAAAGAAAAAGGTCACAATCAAGAAGGGGGGAAAAGCAAATTTACGTCATGGTGAATTCTGTGGACTTAACAGTCTGTGCAAGTTCTATGTGTTTCAATGTGACCTTTGCATGCATCACTGTCTCTATATTGCATCCGAAGAATTGAATTTCTGTACTGAGTATTTTATGTTACTACTGTGAAACGCAAAGGGTGAGAGTACCTCCTCTGCCTGCTAAGGCAAGACCTGAGGAAGATGGAAGGAAGTAAAACAACCAGCAAGAAAAGAGAGGAGGTGCACACTCACTCAACCCTCCCCAACCCCCCCAAATAGCCCTCCTTTCTCTTATGCTATCTTTTATTGAGACAATGAGACATAATGATTTGGGGCTACATGAACAAAACTGCTCCCCACCCATGCACTCGAGTCAATAAATGACTCCTGCTTTCACGCAGATCATAAATTGCCATTAAATCCAAACCACCAAATATCAGGCTAGATCCCACAGATCTGTACACATCAGGAA